CCCCAAAACCCCAAAACCCCAAAACCCCAAAACCCCAAAAATGCGAAAATTAGTTGAAAGTAGATAATTTAATATCATATGAAGCAAAATAGAGTTCAAAAAAGACAAGAGAAGCTTAAGCAACTTTCTGAAATTAGACAGATTGAGATTGATAAATGTGCAGATGATATGGTCTTCCTTGAAAGACTTATGAAGGTCGCCAAAATGTACTTAACCATTATAATCTCTAGGAAAAATAGGAACGACAAAATAGAATGCTTAAAAGACTCGGGTAAGACCCACTTTATCACTTTTACAGATTCTAACCATTCTTTATACCCATCTAAACTTCTCCTCCAATTGCCCTGATGTTTACCTTCGTTTAGACAACTTCTTCATTGAAGATATGAGCCAGATTAAAGAGATGAGGACTGAGAAAGCCAGTTTTAAAAAGGAAAAGCAGATTCTCAGAAATGAGAAAAAGGTTTTAAAGCAAAATATTAAGATAACAAGTCATAATCTGAAAGGTATCATGAGGCTATCAATTGCTAACCTTTTTCTGTCAACTTTGTTCTCCAGATTTCAGAAATGCACTAATCTTTAAAATATCCCGCTTGTCTACTTAAAAATTTTTGCAATATTAATAACTGTCTTTGTAGAAATGGAAGAAATCAATGATATAGCAGAAAGAGCAATAAAGTTGAAGCATCAGATGAAGGACTTCAGAACTGTAAGAGTCTATATCTATACCTTAATCTTCACATAATTTTTAGAGGCTCTGGGTCTTAAGTGCATTTCGAACGAACTTATCTATTGCTTCTTTTTGTGTGCTAAATTCCTTGAATGCTTCATTAGCATCCTGACAGTTACATTTTGAAATAACAATGTATCAAGATTACTGAAATCTCTGAACCTTGAGTTTATAGTCAAGATAAAGCCTTAATATTATCTTTGTCAACTACACACTCTGTTAGATTCGCTCCTGTATGGGATATTTAAACATAAGTTAAAAGAAAACGTAACTTCCTAATTTTCTGAGTTTTTCATATTAATTCTTTAGACACACACAGAAATGGAGATTCTCAAGATAAGGAAGAACTATCTTCTGTCCAAGATGAAGTTCACGAAAACTAAGCTAGTCAAGTCCCCGGCTGCTATCAAAATCAAAAGGTCTTCAGTGAGACTAGATTTGAATAAACTTTCTACTTAGATTTCAGCTCCGAAATGTAGCAGAAAGAAATTTTCACTGATTTGGCCAAACTAATACTATCTCATATAAATTACAACTTAAGTTTCAATTTGTCTCATCTGGGCTGGGGTTTTGGGGTTTTGGGGTTTTGGGG